AATGACATTAGATGGATGGACAGACTCCCAGGGAGAAGCCAGGTGAGGACCCGGGGACGCCCAGGGACAACAGACGCAGACAGACAGAGAGCAGCCGGCTGAGAAGTCCCGTTTCTTCCCCACCCGGAAAGCTTCCTTGGAGCTGGAAAAGTCCCCAGGCACCCCTGCCCGCCTCGCCCGTGGCGTGCCCACTCACACCTCAGGCAAAGGAAGCTGGCAGGCCCCACAGGAACCTTTCTGGGGGGGCGGTGGAGGCGGGCGGGTGGCAGGGACGAAGGGAGAGGAGTGGCGGGCGGGCAGGCAGCGGGCAACAGCTACACAAAGGCCCCAGTGTCTGCCCCTCCTGCCCCCGGGTACAGATATAAATAATATGTACATATACCTTTATATATATATATACCAGTGGGCTGGGGGCAGGAGGCCAGGGGCCACACGCTTCCCTAAGGGCCCGGGAATGGCAGAAGCCTGCTCCTGTGGGGGCTGGGGGGCTCAGAGACACACGAGAGAGTGGCCAAGACTGACAGACACGGGCTGAGAGGGACACAGGAACAGAAGGAGAGAGAGAGAGAAACGTACAAAGCACGAAAGACCAACAGAAAGCCTGGCCAACAGAGACTCAGAGTCAGAGACCTGAGTGGCTGACTCAAACAGGGACAGATCAGGAAGACAGAGAAATCACACTTCACTGAGTGAGAACAGAACAAGGGGGAGGTAGAGGGACAGCGACAGAAGGCAGACAAGGGCCATTCCAGGGACAGGCAAAGTTGCGGAGTAACTCAGGTGAGAGGAAGTAAGGACAGAGAGGAACAGAGAGAGGCCAGGAGCCACCCAGAAAGAGAGAGACAGAAGCAGACGGACAGACAAGACAGACAGGGCCAGGCCAGGGCTGGGGGCTCAGGGAGGCTCGTGACCGTGGGTGAGGCGTGGGTCAGGGCACGTCTCCGGTTTGGGGGCAGCACCTGTGGGGGCTCTGCTGCAGCCCAGTCCAGGGCAGGCCGAGGGGCAGGGAGCAGAGGGGAGGGAGGCGGCCCTTGGGTTCCGGATCTCGGTGTTTACCTGTGGCAGGCATTGCAAACAGGCGCCCAGCCTGGCCCATGGCAGGCGAGGGTGGGCCGGGCTGGGCCCCCGCCCTGGCACCAGTGGGCCCGACACGCCCACCTGTGGCCTGGGCGGTGAGTAACACACACGGTGACACCTGGGTGGATGGTGACACATAGGGGAACAGACATGGTGACAAACAGGGACAGATATAGGCAGACCCAGAGTGAGAGAGACATAAACAGACCCACCGAACCTGGTGACGGACACTCACTGGAACAGACCCAGTGACAGACACACCGTAATAGACATCAGGCTGCGAAGACAGGCCGACAGGAGGCGAGGCACAGAGACAGAAGGACAAAACACCAACAGTGACAGAGGGGACACACACAGACACACTTGTAACCCCCGCTGGCTTCCGGGGTGCTTTCCTCCTCCTGGGGCAGGTCATGGCAGGGAATGGGGCTGACTCGGAGGGAGGCCTTGGGACCCCAGGGCCCCATGGTGCGGTCACCCCTCTCGGGCTCCACAACAGCATGGCGGTTAAGGGCACTGACTCTGGGCCAGACTGCCCGGATTCAAGTCCTAGCTCCCGCCGCCCGCACACTATCCGTGTGACTTTGGGCAAGCGGCCTCACCTCATCCTGCCTCAGTTTCACCAATAATAATTTGGGGGGCATGGGAAGGATTGGGGCAATCCGTTCCGGAAGATGCTCGCACAACGCGGGATAGATGGTAAGCCCTGGTAGCTATGATTATGATTACTCTTTCCGGCATTATTATCACATGCCTTCTGATGTAACGGGACCTCTGCCCACAGCTGGGACACTGCCCTGGCCCTCCGTTTCCCCACCCATGGGCCCCTCCCTTGGACCATGTCACCCAGGCCCGCAGGCTCTGTCCAGCTTCACCTGTCCCAGCCCCGGCTTCTCTGCGTCCCCATGGCTATCCCTCCATCCCCCGATCCCTGGCATCCTCATGTCTGTCCACGCGTCCCACGTCTGACCGTGGTACTTTTCCACGCTGGACATCAGCCGGCTGTCCCTGGGGTGGGGGTCACACCTGCCCACGCCAGCCGAGCCAGTGGCCACCAGACACCCTGACGGATGGCCCCACCCTCCCCCCAGGACCCTACAACAACACCCGCCCCTCCGGCCACCTGAGGTCCCTACTGGGGCGGCCTGAGGCCCAAGCCTGGGGACAGGAAGCCCCAGGCCTGGCCGCCCTGAAAGCCTCTTTCAGCCTGGGCCTCCTCCCGCCACCACCGACTCCTCCTGCGGAATAATATTTGGGCTGTTGGCCGGGGGGGCGGGGGCCAGATCCGGAGGCCGCCTGGGAGAAGCCAGAAACCGCAGGGCTTCCTGCCTCAGGCCGGCCGACTCCGGGAGAGACCCCCAGGCCCGAGGGAGGGGGGCAGGCGCCCGGGGAGACTGAGGGCCTTTCTCTCGGCCCCAGTTGTTTTTTCCAGGAACCAGGAGGAATTCCCCGGCCTGCCCAGGACAGCGAGGCCGGTGGGACGGCTGACGCGGGAGCCAGCACGGCAGGGGGCGGGGGGTGACACGCAGCCGGCGGGGCGGGCACCACGACAGAAATAGAGGGCCTGGCCTGCGAGGTGGCAGGTAGAGGCAGAAACTCAGGGAGCTGAAGACCAGAGAAGGAGGAGCGAGGCCAGAGATCCAAAATGGTGGGGGCGGGGAAGACCCCGGAAAGGAGTCACAGTCCCCAAGAGGAGGACAGAGACATCCAGAGCCCAGAGAGAGGGAAGGAGGGACAGAGTCAAAGCACCGGAGTAAATGAGAGAGAAAGCACAAGGCGGACTGTGTAAGAGATAGACTACAGAGGATGAGCAAAGGTTTTCAAAAAAGCCAGGAGACAAAGACCCAGAGAGAAGGCTAAGGACAGAGTGCGACAGAGAGATGACACTAAAGAGACAGAAAAATGGACACACAGAAACTAGGGGAGACATATCACACACACACACACACACACACACACACACACGTAAACAGGCAGCCCTTGGTCTGATGAACAAATGAATGAGCCTCTGGAGAACCAAGGACCAAGAAAGGCAAACCCCAAACAAGGAAAAGACAAAATAAGACCAAACCCGCCCACCTGCCCTCACCTGGCTGAATGACCCTGGCCCAGTCCCTTTCCCTCTTTCTGCTCACTGTCTCCCCCCCAACTGCCCCCCCCTGAGAGCCACGTGCCCAGAACATCTGAGAGCCTGACCCCAGACTCAAAGCCTAGGCAGAGCCCTGGAGGAACAGAGACACCCAGAGAGCAACCCCAGAGGCCCACAGTCGCCCAAGGAGGACCGAACTCCTTCCCCACACACCTGCCTGCAGAAGGGACAGCCAACCCTCCACGCAACAGTGACAGGCATAATACCCAAACGCAGGCAGACTCTTTGAAACATTTGAAACATACAGGCGGATGCTGACTCAGAGGTGCACACAGAACTGTGACAGGCAGGCCTTCGACGCAGATTGAGCCCCACACAGACTCCTTGAGGCGATGGGTATGCTGACAAATGGCCATGGAGACCTGCGCCTACAGTGGGAGACCCACAAGGACCCAGGGGTAGGTGGACAAAGAGAACCATACACACTAAACAATAAGAGATCCCAGGACCCACAGGTAGCACTCAGAGTGTGAAGAGACATGCAAACCCACACAATGGAGGGATACACACCAGAGGGAACAATGCGCAGGCCACAGAGACCCCAGTGGGCACAGTAATATCCTATGACCAATGGAGGCCCACCCCCCCAACACACACACACACACACACACACACACACACACCATCTCCTTCAATTAACACCTGGTTTGTGCCTTCCCCTCCTCCCCAGCTTAACCAAAAGTTGAGTAGCCCCTGGGCTCCTTGGGCCTCAGAGTTAGAGGTGTGTGTCTGGGGAGTGGGGGTGGAGAGATGGCCTTGGTCACTGCAGAGCCTCCTCCCCCGGCCGCCCTGGCCCCACTGCTGCAGGGGCTGCTATCTGTGAGCAAACTGTCCTTGGGGTCAGGGACAGTGAAGAGCCAAAGGTCAGGTCGATGCCTCCCCCAACTCCTCCCCCAGAGGCAGCTACCTCTTGGGGGTAGGCGGGAGAGGGGACAGGGACACTGCAATTCAGGTGTTCAAGCCCTGCAGGGCCCACCCTCCAAGGAAAAGAGACGTTCAGCGAGAGGCAAAAACAGTGCCTTTAATAGTCAAGCACAGCCAGTATCCCGCTTCCCAGGCAAGAACCAGACTTCAGTAGAAATTCCCCATACCCTAGCCAGTCCTTTCTGGTTTCTCCTGGACCAGAGAGGGGAATGGGCTCCAGAAAAAACCAAGGAGTATTCACACTTCCATCCCTCACTCAACTCACACCAAAGAGACGGTGACGACAATGGCCAACCCAGGGGCCGTGGCAGCTATCACAGTGCACAATGGGACACTGGTTATGTCAGCCAACCGAGATGGTGGCCATCATAGCACCCAACGTGCCCAAAATAGAGATGTTATGCAGGATGCTGCCCAACTCGGCATCGACTATGCCAAGAAGCCCACCAAAAAAGAAGCACAACACCCAATGGGCCAAAGATGTAATTGGAATGGTATCACCATCACATCCAAAGGATTAGTCAAGAGGATGTCCATCACCGTGTCCAAAGGGCCAACTAAGATGTCATCCCGGGTGGTGGCCATCAGAGCACCCAACAGAGGGACGAACAACATCAATCGACATGGCAGTCTTTGTAGTACCCAGTGGGCCTGCCAAGATGTCAACGGCAGTTATCCCAGTACCCAAAGGATTGGCCCGATGCCTCCAGAGACAGCAATCACCACCCTAATAGGCCAACCAAGATGGTAACTGATGGGACGAGCCAAGTGTCACCAGGAGGATCAGGCCCCAAGCGCCTGATGGTGTGAGTTACGGCCATACCCCACCCACCACACTCCCACACCCCTGCTAGGACGCGTTAAGCAGAGAGCGGGAATAGACACCCTGGTAGTAGACCCCAGGCTCCCCCGCCTCTGCCCCATAGCCCCCAAACCCCACGTCCAGTTTAGGAGGTGCCGGTGTCTGTTCCGACATTAGGTTGTTGATGGAGAAAGGGTGGTTGAAGTTGTAGGGAGCATCCAGCTTCAGCTCCCCGGGGAGCTCCAGGCCAGTGAAATAGGGTGTGGAGGAAGGGGGTGAGCCACAGTCCAGAGCCCCCACATCTTCCCCGCCCTGGGCCTCCGGCTCAGGGGGCGGAGGTTGGGGCTGCGGGGGAGAGCTGACCGTGGCGGCAGGGGCGGCGGCCGAGGCAGCCGCCCCTGCACTGTTCCTGGAGGTGGAGGTCCCGCCAGCCCCTTTCTTCACCTTCTCCTCCAGCTTGAAGCGCTTCTGGCGGCGCAGGTAGCAGCCGTTCTCAAACATGTTCCCTGAGCTGGGGTGCAGGGCCCAGTAGGAGCCCTTGCCCGGCTTGTCTGGGGAGCGGGCCACCTTGACAAAGCAGTCGTTGAAAGACAGTGAGTGGCGGATGGAGTTCTGCCAGCGTTGCTGGTTCTCCCGGTAGTAGGGGAAGAGGTCCATGATCCACTGGTAGATCTCGCTCAGGGTCAGCATCTTGCCCGGCGCCTGCTGGATGGCCATGGTGATGAGCGAGATGTAGGAATATGGCGGCTTGGCGTGGGCCAGTGGCCGCCGGTAGCCTTTCGGCATCTCCTTCCCGTGCACCAGCCCCGGGCCCGGGCCGCCGTACCCTGAGCCGCTGCCTCCGCCACCACTGGCACCCAGGCCTGGGAAGGTGGGCCCCAGGGGTGCTGCGGGGGCTGGGGGCGCCAGCGGTCCTGAGGGCAGCGGAGAGGCAGGGAGCCCCCCAGGGGGGTAGGGAGCACTCAGAGGGTTCAGGCTCATATAGGAGTTGAGGGGGGCCATGGTGGGCACTGGGGTCACCGGCGAGTAGACCTGCAAGGAGAGAAAGAGAGATGGGGGGAGGTCAGTGAGTTGCCACTCTCCTGGTCGGCAAAGGGTCACTGGCCCCCACTATATGTCCATCTGTCTGTCTGTCTTGCCTCTTCTACAAGTCCCTCCCATCCTTACCTCTGTTTGCAGATGGCTGTCTCTGGAAGTCTCTCTCTCTTCCCCATCCTCATGAGCCCCATCCCTGACCTCACCCTCCATCCCCCAAGGGATCCCTATACTGGAGCTCATGCTTTAAGTGGTTCTCAAAGTGTGGTCCAGGACACCCGGGGGAGTCTCGGAGACCCTTTCAGGATGTCCAGGAGGTCAAAACTATTTGCATATAATGCTAAGAAATTACTAGCCTTTTTCACTCTCTGTCTCTCTCAGGAGTTACAGTGGAGTTTTCCAGAGGCCACCGGACATGTGACATTGCAACAGACCAAATGTAGAAGCAGCCACAAGAATCCAGCTGTCTCCTATTGAACCAGACACTGAAGAGATTTGCCAAAAATATAACAGTGCCACTCCTCTCACTAAATGTTTTGAAATATAGTTATTTTATTTTATTTTTATTTTTTTAAAGATTTTATTTATTTATGTGACAGAGAGAGACAAGCGAGAGAGGGAAGACAAGCAGGGGGAATGGGGGAGGGAGAAGCAGGCTTTCCGCGGAGCAGGGAGCCCGATGCGGGGCTCGATCCCAGGACCCTGAGATCATGACCTGAGCCGAAGGCAGGCACTTAATGACTGAGCCACCCAGGCGCCCCAAAATATAGTTATTAGTAAAAACACAGTATTTATGCTAAAAAATTGTTGGTTTAAAATTAATTAATCCAGGGGTGCCTGGGTGGCTCAGTCAGTTAAGCATCTGCCTTCGGCTCAGGTCATGATCCCAGGGTCCTGGGATCGAGCCCCTGTGTCAGGCTCCCTGCTCCGTGGGGAGTCTGCTTTTCCTTCTCCCTCTCCATCCCCCCGACCCCGCTCATGCTCTCGCTCACTCTGTCTCTGTCTCAAATAAATAAAATCTTAAAATTAATTAACCCATATTATAAAAATTTCTCAGTTTTAATTTCTAATACAGTAACTTTTCTTTTTTTAACGCAGTAACTATTGCTAGACATAATTTACATGAATGAAACCTGTTTGGGGTCCTCAATAATTTTTAAGCATGTAAAGAGGTCCTAAAACTGAAAAAATCGAAAACTCCTGACTTATCTCCATCCCATCTATAAATATGGGTAATCTCTATCACTCTTTTGGGTTATAGAATTACAGTTGTTAGAGGCCAAAAATGTTTCAGGATTGTGGAGGGGGGAGGGGCACCTCAGTCGGAAGAGCATGCGAGTCTTGATCTCAGGGCTGTGAGTTCGAGCCCACATTGGGTGTAAAGATTACTTAAATAAGTAAAACTTAAAAAAATTGTTTAAATGTTTCAGTATCGGAAATCACGTTTCAACCTAATCTATATTGCCTCTTTACCATATATCATTAAATCTAAGGCATCGCTATTTGTAAGCTGCCGTGTTATTTTAAGTACCAATAAGAATAATACCAATAAGGGGGGAAAAATACTGTCAGTCCCTAGACACCATTGACTGTAAAGCCCATCCCATTTTCAGAAATGTTCAAATGAAAAACATGCATCTTAGCTCAATGAAAAACAGTAGACATCACTAGGTCTCTCTAAATAACCCTCTATTCTTCCATCCATTAAACAAATATCTATCTGGCCACCTACTTTGTGCCAGGCACTGCTCCAAGCACTTCACAGGAAAGGTCTCCGTTCAACTTTGACAACCGCGCTATGGTAACACCCATTGTATGGGTGAGGAAGCTGGAGGCCCAGAGAAGTTGTCCAGGGTCAGACAGTAAGGAAGGGGCAGAGCTGGGGTTCTGAATTTAGGCAGCCCGGCTCCAGACCAGTGCTCTGGATCACGCTACAAAAGCAAGTGACCAAGACAAGACAGAAACGCCTGCCTTCACAGACCTGACAGTTTCCTGCTAGGAAAGGAACCAGATAAACATGGAAAACAGAAAGCATGGTGGGTGGTGATTTCTCCCTCGTTGTGTGTATTTACCGCTTCCATCCACTGTCCACCATCCTCTCTCCCTCAGTCCGCCAATGGCCCCCTGTCTGCCCTGCTCCCTCCCCACGCGGGGGTCTCATGGCCCTGGGGGTGCTGCTATCTTTCCAGCACGAGCTGCCTTTGCTGTGAGTCAGTGGGTCCTGTCTTGTCCCCTGTCACTGTAAGGGTCTGCAGGTCCCAAGGTCCTGAGAGAGAAGGGAATGGCCGGGGTCACTCAGAGAGCTGGGGACAGGCGACAACCAACTCTAGTCTGAGCCCAGGCAGAGAAACTCTCTTCTCTCTCACATACTTCCAGGCAGTTCTTTTGTCTCTGGTCTCTGAGTCTCCCAGCTGGCTCCATGTGTATCTGTCCATCTCTTTCCCCCATCTCAGTACCTCCCTGCTCCTGCCCTCTCCCCCTCCTCTCTACTCCCTAGTCTCCATCCAAGCTTCCTCTCCTCCCTGTCTCTCCCCATCTCTTTCTCGCCCCTCTGTCTTCACCTCCTTCTCCTGTCTCTCTCTCATCTCTCCCCAACCCCCCTGCCTGTCCCTCCTCATGACTCTCCCCAACCCTATCCCTCTTCCCCCACCCTATCTCTCCCTGTCTCTCTCTGCTCCCCTCCCCGGCCATGTCTCTTTCCCTCCAGCACATCTCTGGACCTCTCTGTCTCCTCGCCTCAGCATCACCATCCCCCCAGAAGCCTCCCACTGAAACTGGAATCACAGCTACCCCTCCTCCACGCACTGGTGTCCCCACCACCACCTTGGCTGATTCTGCCCCCTCCCCAGGATAAGGGAAGCGGGTCCTTCAGAGCTGAGGGAAGGCAATGGACTCAGGGGCATCCACAGAGGGTTCCTAAATCCCTCTGCGACCCTCACTTCCAATTCTCCAGCTCCATGAGCGTCCTCTGTATCACAGAGGAAGAATGACCGGGACCCCAGGGCCCTCCTTTTCTGGGTCTCCACCCACCCGGAAGTCCTCCTTGAGGTCTGACCTCAAGCACACCAGCTGCCCTAATCCACCCTTAGCTTTCCCACGCCCCAGGGCTGGGATGAACCCCCAGTGTCCGGGTGTGAGCCGGATCTCCCCTGCCAGGGCGGGGCTGAGATTGGGGGGAAGCCTTCAGGGGACCTGCACCCCCCGTCCCAGGAGGCTGGAATTTCTCTCCTTTCATTTCCTTATTGTCTCTGGGGGAGGGTGTGACAGGGAGCAGAGGAAGGCTGCGTGAAACCAGAAGCCTGGTTTCTAGTCCCAGTCACAGTGCAGATCCTCCAGCAGCCCCCAACACTTGGAGAGGCTTCAGAGTTCCCATCTCTAAAAGGGGGGAGCACTTGGACCAGCTGATTTGTGAGAACTGGAGGCCAGTCGGGACACCCCAGGGTGCTAACTTTCCAATTTCCTTCCTGACAGGGAGCCTGACCGGGGGTGTCAATCACCCCAGCAGGAGGGTGCTGTGAGCAAGAAGCAGTTTGGGAACCCTCTTAGTTCTTAGTTGCTGAGTGAGTGCAGATGTTTCTCTCCCTATTGTTCTGACCCAGGGGGAGGAGGTGGCTCAGTGGATGGGAAGGCTGGGGACACCATATTTCCATTTCCGGCCCCCCATATGTTAACTCTTCCACAATATGCTCTCAAATGCTAATCATTTCTAGACGGTCCCTCAATTACTGACACAATTTCAATGTGCAAATGCAAATTCTTAAACTTCAGACTGTGCCCCAATAGCGACTCCTCCATCCCTAGACCCACACAACTTACTTCTTAAAGATGTGGCCCCTGCCCAAACATAGATCTGTAGTTGGGTCTTCTTCAATCATGTCCCCAGGCTCTGAACTCTCTAGGGGTTCAGCAACCCACCCTCCTCCCCCCCCCGCCCCCCACCGCCACCTGGGAGCCTCCACTTCCAACCTGGTCTCTCTCTGCCTTCCCCACCATACAACTTCACCTTCAGCTCTCCGCACTCCCAATCCCTTCCCTGGTCAGCCTGCCCCACCCCACGTGCACCTCACACCTCCACAGCCCCAGGACTGGCCCCTCCTGGGCACTTTGCCAATCCCTGCAGGCCTGGGAAACCAGGAGTCCCACCCCGAGCTTCAAACTCCAGACCCAGGACTCAGGCACGGTGGGGCCCCTTGTAAACCCCCAGATCTCTGAATCCTTGGGGATCTCAGACATTCCAGTCCCCCTCTGACCTGAAGCCCAAAGTCTCCTTCCAGGTTAAGAACCCAAATGTCCAGACCCCCATAACCTTCCTACTAGGATCCCTCCCCTGCCATTTCACAATCTTGACTATAGAAAGAACAAGCTAAGGAGGAGCCCTTGCAGCAATGGGAATGGGAGTTAGACTTGGGGAAGGACTTTCCTTCTGCTGAGGTGAGGGAATTACCATACACCCCACCCCCTACTCCAAGGACGGCCTTGTCAGAGATGGGACAAGTGAGGACATTAGCAATTACTGGAGATTACTGGGAGGGGGGTGTGTGTGAAATCTGAAACCCTCCAGCCTCCAACAAGTAGTATCCCTGCTGAGGGTCTCTAAAAACAATTAAACCACTGAAGTTCAGGCGGGAGGGGTAAGGGTCATGAATAGAGATGGGGGTGGATATTGACCCGTCTCCTGACAATGCCGTTGCTCACATCTGCTCTCAGGCTCCCAACTCTGACCCTATCTGGGCCCCCGTCTCTCTGAGCCCCAACTCTCACCCACCTGTTATTACAGGTTCCCAAACCATGTTTCATGTCTGAGCACCACCATCTCTTAACTTTGAGCACCAATCCCTATTTCTGACTCTTAGGTCGCCACCCCCAAGATGCTTATCCTCCAATCTCAACTCTGATTTCTACCCCGGAAACCCCATCTTTAACTATATTCTATCCCTGAGCTCTCACCTCAGACTTTCCTTAATGGTGACCTTTTTCTCCCATCTCTTAGCTCCGGTCTTTCCCCCTCTTTGGAACCCTATTTCCTAATCCCCCAGCTCGGTCCCCTGTCCTGGAACTCGGATTCCTATCTTTGTTTTGAGGTTTTTTTTTTTTTTTTTCATTTTAATCCCTTGGATTTTGGGTCCGCAACACCCAGTCGTCACGTTTAAACTATGACCTGACCCTTGCCTAAATTTTTCCGTTTGAGCCCTCGCTCCAACCAGTCTAAACCGCACTCCCATGCCTCGTCCCCCATCCCTGACTCCTACACCTGGTCTGCGTGTCTCTAGTTCCTCCGCTCCTCAACTGTAGTTGGGGCCCCCTTTTGATCCCACACCCCATCCTTGCCCCCCATTCACGCTCGCACCCTGATTCCTGCCCCCCACTTCCGCTCCGCCATCCCCGAGGACACACCTCGCCCGCCTCCGGGTAGTAGCTCCACTCGGCCAGGTCATGGGCCTCCATCTTCACCGAGCCCAGCATCCCCCGGGCCTGCGCCCCCTCCCGCCCCCGCTCCGGCCCGGGGGTAACCGAGCGCTTCAGATCTCTCAGCCGGCACGGCCCGAGCTCCGACCGGTGCCCGCCCGTCCGACCGCCCGGGGTCCCAGCCGTCCTGGGCGCCGCGGGAGGCGGCCACGCTTTATAGCTGGGACACCCCCGCCCCCCTCCCTCGCCCGCCCCGGGCTCCCCTCCCGCCTCCCCGAGGGCGGCGCGCTCGGACTGGGGCGCCCCCTGCGGGATTGCGCGGAGACAGACCTCAGGCGCCGGGAGCCGCAGCCCGGGGCCACGAGAGCTGGAGGTGGCTGAAGAGAGGGAGCTACGAGTGGGAGACACTGCCGATGCTAAAGTCCCCAAGGGCAGAATTCTGGGGCTCCTCTACCCCAGCGGGTTTCATCACCTCGACAGGAGAAGGCGAATAGCCAGAGCCCAGCATGACCGCGGCGGAGAAGAGGGGGCCTCAGAGCGCAGTGGACTCCAGAGGTCAGCATATGCTACCATAAGGACCGTAAGAGACCCTCGAACCCACATTCCCATTGGACGGACAGGAAGACTGAAGCTTCCGACAACTGGAAATGCTCCAGACTGCGTAAACGGTCAGGACCTAAGGTGGACGGGATCGGGGACTCTGCTTAGACTCCAGTGGGGCAACAGACCACCTCCAGGACCTAGGAGCTTCGTCGCGCGGACTCTCCACCCTCTCTAACACCAGCCGTCCAGGGACTCAGAAACCACCGTGAACTCCATTTCCCAGAAGCCTCTACCTCCCTTTCCGTCCAGTGCCTCTGCTAAGGGACTACATTTCCCTTAAGGCATGGCGTTCAAAGGCCGGAAATGAAAGGCACCCCGGCGTCGTCGGGGGGAGGGCGGAAGGCCTCTCGCGCCGCAGGAGGTAGGGGCGGGGTCGGGCCGCAGTGTGGACTCCATTTCCCGGCGGCCCTGTGTGCGCGGCGCGTGCGCAGTGTCCCGGCGGCGAACGGAAGATGGCGACGGCGGCGTCTGTGAAGAGGCGCTGCTGAGGGGGCGCGAGGGGGACGGAGGCCGGCGCCGCGGTGAGCGGGGGGCGGCGTGGGGGCCCGGGAACGAAGGGAGGAGGGACTCTGAAGCGGCAGGGGCGCTGGCCGGCGGGTTGGGGCGCTGCGAGGAAAGGGGAGCAGTGACGTTCGGGACCCCAGTTTCTTCCCCAGCTCGGGACCCTCCCGTGGCTTCCCAGTGCCCTGAGGGCAAAGTTCCAACGTGGCCCCCAAGGCGCGTCCGCCCCGCCGGCCCCGGCTCGGCCTCTCTGCTCGTTCCTCACTTCGCACAGTTGCACTAGCCTTCCGGTTCCTCAAACTCGCCATGCGCCTTTCCGCCTCAGGATTTTTGCACATGCTGTCCTCTCTGCCCGCAACATCCTTTTACCCATTCTGCCTGGCTAACTCCCATTCATCTTTCGGGTCTCGGCATCAACGTCACTTCCTCTGCGAAGGCCTCCTTTCCCGCCCTCCGTCCCGAAATCCGCCTGTTAAACGCTCTCATAGGTCCTTGTCCCTTTCCTTCATGTCACATGTGGTCTGATTTATCATTGGACCTTTATTTGTGGGGTTTTTCGATTAGGACCTTGACCGTGAACCCCACGGGGACAAGAGTATGTGTTGGTCATCGCTCTGTTCCCAGCACAGCGCTGGTCGCACTGAAGACGCCTGGTTAATGTTCGTTGAATGAATGAAAGATACTCCTGGGGTTACTCCGTATATGAGGGGTGGCGTCATATTCCGAAGTGGGAGTGGGGCAGTGGTACTCCATAAGGAGTACACCGGGAGGGGAGGGGAAGCGGGGATTGTTGGTAATAGCAAAAAGACTGCAAGCACCCCAGATGTTCTTCAGTAGGGAGACTGGCAGAAAAAAAGCTGATTAACATCCACGTTATAAAATACTATGCAACTATTAAAGGGAATGGGGGGTTGGGGGAAGGGAATGAAGAAAATGTCTCTACATTGATATAGAGAGTGGGCTCCAGAATATATTAAGTGAAAACAAACAAAAGAGCAGGCCGTGCTAATTATATGCTCCCTTTTTACAAAAGAAAGGGAAATGTGTATAAACCTTGTTGTTTTGTTTTGTTTTAAGGATAAAGCAAGAAGTAGAAGAGGAAGAACACAGGGTTAAAAGAAAAAAAAAAAGCTAGATCTCAGTCTGTTATTGTCATGGAGAGAGTGGAAAGGTTGGAAAGGTTCATCAGGAAAAGGTTCATTGTGTTCTGATAAGGGACTGGAGTATGCTGGTTGTCAGGTGACCATGCGCCTCGGCTTGCTTGGGAACAGACCTGGGGTGGAGAAGGAATGGCTTTCAGAGAGGCAGGACTGCATGGTGGTGAGGAGGATAGATTCTGCAGTCATACTGCTGGGTCTGCATCTTAGAAGCTGTGAGCCTTCAGTCAAGTGACTTTACCTCCCTTGCCTTCAAATTTCCTCATCTGTAAAATGGAGATTAAAAGTAGTACCTGCCGGTGTTGGGAGCTTTAAATAAGTTAACATTTGTATTAGAATTGTGCCTGACACGTATGCTTACATATTAGTTGTTATTTTTCAAGCATTCTGGAGCCAAAGGGTGGGGATACTAAGTCTAGGGATTGGGGAAGCCCTTTGGCATTCACTCAGATATTTACTGAGCACTTACTAGGTGCCAAGCACTGTTCCACGCTGGAGATCTAAAAAGTGAACAGACACGCACAAATCCTGGCCTTCATGGAGCTTATAAATTTGTAGTATGTTGAAGGTAATAAAGGCTGTGTAGAAAAATAGAGTAACACAGATGGAGAGGGAGAAAGAATTGACACTTGAAATAGGGTAGTGAGGGAAGAGCTGGAGCACAGAGACCCTAGAGGAAAGTGAGGGCAGAGGTAGAAGGGGCCTTTCATACAAGGTCTTCTAGGCCTTGGTGAGGATGATGGCATTGACACTAAGCAAGATGTGGCTGTGACAGGTGGCGGGGAGACTAGGAAGGAGACTGTTGGATACTCATTCATTCAGCAGACATCTGGTGAATAATTACTGTATTGCAATATATTACATTCCTTTTAAAAGGTCCATCTTTTTCACCCTCCTCAAATTGTTCTTAACAGTTTATGCAACATCCTTCAGATCTTTTCAGGGGCACATAAAAATAGTAGCTGTACTTATCTTGTGTTTATTTTGTGTACTAACTCATCTACTCCTCGGAATAGTCCTGGGAGGTAAACACTTTTGCCATCCCTGTTTTTTGTTTTGTTTTGTTTTTTAAGATTTTATTTATTTGAGAGAGCGAGCATGAGAGGGGGAAGGGTCAGATGGAGAAGCAGGCTCTCCACTGAGCAGAGAGCCCGATGTGGGACTCGATCCCGGGACTCTGGGATCATGACCTGAGCCGAACGCGCACTCAGCCACCCAGGTGCTCCATCCCTCTTTTATAGAAGAGGAAACAGACCCAGTTCATTTTGTGTCTTCATACACAAACTTGACAAAAATGGATTGAATTGCTATTTTCTGTGATGCCATAGGCTGTTGCAGACAGCTTTTTATAATGATACATTGAGACCTACCAGATTTATCTTAACTGTTTTCCCTCCTCTTCTGATTTTTTGTTTATCTTTTCATTTTTTTAAATATATATGTGTACGTAGGTACATATATATATATATGTACATGTACGTGTGTGTGTGTTTTGTAAAAAGGGAGCATGCGGCAAACATTGTATTCCGCTTTGCATGTTTTCAGTGAATATATGTTGGAATCCACTGTTTATCAATGTATAGAGATTTTCATTTTTTCATCCCTCATTTTTTTTTAAGATTTTATTTATTTATTTATTTGAGCGAGAGAGACAGAGATAGCAACAGAGAGAGCAAGAGAGAGTATGAGCGGGGAGGAGCGGGAGAAACAGGCTCCCGCTGAGCAGGGAACCAGAGCCAAAGGCAGACGTTTAACCCACTGAGCCACCCAGGCGCCCCCATCCTTTTTACAGTTGCATAGTATTTTATTATGTGGATTTATCATGTTTTTCCAGCCAGTCTCCCTGTTTGAGAACACTTGGGTTGCTAATAGTCTTTTGCTGTTAGGAATAATGCTGTAGTTGATCCTTATTAAATAGTTTTGCCAAGGGGCGCCTGGGTGGCTCAGTCGGTTAAGTGGCTGCCTTCGGCCCAGGTCATGATCCCGGGGTCCTAGGATCAAGCCCCGCATCGGGCTCCCTGCTCCGCGGGGAGTCTGCTTCTCCCTCTCCCACTCCCCCTGCTTGTGTTCCTGCTCTCGCTATCTCTCTCTCTGTCAAATAAATAAATAAAATCTTTAAAAAATAAAATAAATAGTTTTGCCAAGTGTGACTCTGGGACAGATGCCCAAAAGTCTTCCCTTCCCCTCTCCCCTTTTTAAAAAAACAAACTCCATAGTATTCCATTTATTTTAACTAGGCCTTTTCTGATGTGTTGAATACTTAGCATGTAGGACTCTGTGACTGGTGTTCCTCAGAGCTGTGTTATAGAAAGCCTGCTGTCATGTCTGGTCCCGAGTACAGCCGGATGGCAAGACGAGACCCTGAAACCAGCAAGGTGGCTGCTGTGTGTTCATTTGTTCAGTCATTCAGCAGATGTTTGTGGCCAGCCTGCTATGTGCAAAGTCCTGGAGGTGAGGCCTGGCACTCCACAAGGGACTGCCTCTGGCCTGGGAGACATCCATCTCTCCCAGATTATAACCCCTATATACACCCACAGTCTGAGACAGAGCCTGGATGGGAGAGGGGCTTCAGAAGACCCAACAGGGACAGGACAGAATGGAAAGGAGGGTCGCGCCCTTTGTGGACGCGAAGTAGGGTGAACGTCCAGCCTATCCACGGAGCCCCAGGGCTTGATGGGTCCTCTTTTTTTCCAGGAAGTCCCGGATAGCAGCCATGGCAGGCAGTAGTGGGGATAGTGTCACTCGGCGGAGCGTGGCGTCACAGTTCTTCACACAAGAGGAGGGCCCGGGCATCGA